CCCAGTGTCTTGCTCCTATTCCTCCTGAAAATGTTTAATGCAGTGCTGTGAATGATGTCCCTGATAGTATTCAATCTCTGCTGGACACTTCCTCTAGGTGGGTTTGTAAGGATGGCATCCTTCAGACTTGATGAATATCATTGATTTGTTTGAGTTTTGGATGGTGGTGGCATAGATACAGTTTGCTGGAGGCTTGGCGTAATGCAGTGTCTGTTTAGAGCCAGAGTTTGCAGCAAAACAGGAAGTGATCTGTGTCACAGTAGGCTCTCTGAAAGGACCATGTCATGTGCATGTTTCTCAGGTATCTGCATCTTGTAAAGATCAAATCTAGCTGATTTGAATGTTTAGAGCAGGGGTGTCACCAGGAGACCGTGCTGGGTTTTGTCCTGCCAGTATGCGTTGTTGACGCATAGCTTGTGAAACAGAGCAGTTGTTGACCATTATCATTCAATTTACCGACTATGCTGTCCCATGCAGCTAAGGAATGAGTCAAGTTCAGTACCCACTGGCATTTAGGTCGCCAAGTATTAGCAAATGTTCCTCTTTTGGAAAGTTTGTATCTTTAATAGCTGATCATAATCATCTTTGATGTCATGCGAGCACCAGTATTGTCGCAGCAGTTGCCAGAATGAAGTTGAACATTACATCAGACTGTCTTAGGGACTCCAGACTTGTCCTCAGAGTTTACTTCTGAAGCCTTTCTCATTAGATATAGCCACAAGGCAGTTTTCCTTCTCTTAGATGAACTACCCTCTCAAACTAATGAGTTCCATCTACCCTTAGTATACACAAACATTCACATATTTTACACTTGATGTCAAACGGTTCAAATGCACACTTTTAGAAGTATTATTTTAAAAATAATAGAAATAATAAAAAGTATAAAATTATCAAATATATAAAAACATTATTTTTGTTAAAATATTTGAAAGATATAAATTGATTATTCTAAAAAAAAAAAAAAAAAAAAAGTTATGTTACAATTAATAACTAAGTAAAGGATTAAATAAAATTACCATTAAAATGTTAGAAATGTTTGATAAATGACAGGAAAAGAAAATGATACTGAACAAATAGTCAAAGATAAAAACAAAAATATTATGAGTGTTTTCTTTCAAATTGTTCTTGTAACATTGGCTTTTCTCATTTTGCTTTTTAGTGGCCCACTGAAAATATTCAAGTAGCTATTATACATATTTAATGAAAAGGCAGAAAAATAAATTAGGTGGAAAGCAAAGATTGTTAGAGAACAAATCTCACAATTGCACAAATATACAACATTAAAAGAAACATTTAAAACTCTTGATAAATCTATTTGCATTTATTTTTTATCTATTAAAATCAGAGCAGCAAATATTTCTATGATGATGTAGAGTATGTTTATGCACACACATGTCATAATATGAGAAAAATTAGATCAATTGTCAGTTTTGGCCACAATGTTTTTATTGACTAAAATGATCTCATGAATTTTCGATGCTTCCTGCTTTGATAAATCTCATACTTTTGTAACTTTTACTGTACTGTAATAGAGTTTAATATTTGAACACTGTGGCAGGCAACTTGTATGCAAAATCCTTAATTAGTATTTCTTGGTTCAAACTTGAGTTAATGATATAAATACTGTGAAAGAATCAACATAATTATCAAAAGAAGCATCGATTGTGATGTGGAATCTGCCAAAACAACACTTAAGTCGACAGTCAGCCGTGATAATAGCATTCAATACTCAGCTAGACAAGTCACTGCAATAGTATTATCTTTCTAGAGGACTACTTATGAACGGATCAGTCTATTCATGATAGTAAAGAGGGTAACCGGCTTAGTACAACAATATCCTTTCAATATAGGAAGATAAAAATCATCTTATATTTACTAAATCTTTGTATTTAAGGTATTTTTTGCTGTAAAATTAAAATACATGTCTTAGATTCAATTATACTGAAATTTTATAGGAAATATACATGTAAAAATTAATGATAAAAGAATTTGAGTTGATTTTGAAATGTAGTTCCAAGTTATTCAGCTGCTTTACATTAGTATTTTCATGATTTTCTTTCAACAGAATTTCAGTTGAAAAGTTCTCTGCAATCATAAGTGTCAAGATTCTTTCACATGCTCTGAATTAATAAAAAGTAAAAACTTGACCATATTGGGAGAAACAAACATGTTATCATATGGATACCAAAATAATTTGGCTCACCTCAGTAAAAACCTTGAGACCCAGGCCACCACAAAATTTTGTACACATCTTGCCATAAGGCAGACAAGTTTGTTGCCAAATTTAAAAGAAATTAGGGATATGCTTTTTGAGAGATGAAAAGTCAAATTATTTTATCCGACCTCTGAAACATAAATATCACATTTTAGATCTATCGAAGTACTTTAAAATGGTATGTAATTTAGCTTTGTAGGTTAAAATTTTTTTTTAAAACTGTCACTAAGTTTAAACTTTTTTTTTTTTTTTTTTTAAATTTGGTACACTTACGATACAAATTGAATGGTGCCTATTTTACATCTCTAGGTCAAAGGGTTCCGGAAATATGACCCTTTCCACCTGTGCTAAAAGAAAGTGAATTTTGGAAAATAGTCACTATTTTAAAAAATTCCCTTTTTTTTTTTTTAAGCACAGGTGAAAAGGGTCATAACTTCAGAAGCCTTTGACCTAGAGATGTAAAATAGGTACCATTCAATTTGCATCATAAGTGTACCAAATTAAAAAACAAAAAAACAATAAAAGTGTCAACTAAATTAGTAAAAATGTATATAAATGCTGAAATACAATATTTTCTGATAAGACTCATTTTTAATATTTGTTTAGATCACTCACTACATAGCCACAAAATTACGTACATATAAAGAAGCAGGAGTCAGTTTTTAAATCAATCTTTAAGGTAATGAAGTCATCGATGAATCATGCAATGCAAGCATATCTTTAGTTGAAGCATGTGAGACCATTCCTAAGGTAACAAGACAGAAAAAGCAAGAGAAAAAGAAATGTAAAAACACACTAAACAGGTAAGAAAAATAAAAAGCTAATAATCTGAGAAATCAAAATCTTTTGGAAATTGGAAACCAAATCAATAAAATAAGACAGTATTGAAATGTGAAGAAAACACAATCAAAACCAAAACATATCCCAGGCTCAAAAATACTTTCAATCATGTATCAAGTCTGACTACAATCTGAAGATGCCAGAAAATAGAATATGTTCTGGTACATATTCTAACATTAGAAAGTCTATCTTCAAACAATGGCTCTATTAATGAAAAAGTCAAGAGAGCAAAAAGACAAACAAAAAATAAAGCCTCCCTTGAGGCTTAAGTTTCAAATATTGCTGTCTCTGAATTCAAAATTAAATTTAACTTTTAGTGAAGTCTAATCAAAAGGCACACCCCAAATCAATGGGATCTGTTCTGCATAAAGCAGTTTGGAAAAAAAAAAAAAGTCTTGAAGATTGTAACTTGTACAAATTCTCAATAGAATCCATTAGTGAAAAGTAATGGATATTTTACTAACTAGTCTCTTATTCTATGAAAATTAACCTATAAGTAGCCAATTTGGTTTTTGTTCTGGTAAGGGCTATAATAGTCTATGTCATTAAAAGAACTGCATGAAATCTCATGCTTAACAAATAGACAATTTTACACTTGCTATGTTGATCGCACACAAGTATATGATCACATCAATAGAAAGTTTCCTTTTTCTCTTTTTTTTTTTTTTTTTCCATCAATCAGAAATTCTTCCTAGCTTCACTGATTTAATCTGACAGATACAGTCCATATCAACAAAGCCATGTCTGGTGAAGACATCAAAACCAATTCATTTCAAACCTCATCAGGAATAAAATATGGCAGAAATGACATCCTCAATCTGTTTAACCTTTTCCTAGATTATTCTTTATGCATGTACAAACACATATGAAGAAATGTGCCTATAACATTTAAAATTACCATGTCCCAAACAAATCTACTAGTAGAAAACAGTACTTCTCCCCCACCAAAGTCAGTGTACTGATAACAAAGGTGGGGCTATGGCGTGTTCATAGACATGAAGAGAAAGAAAGAAAAAAAAAAAAAAAAAAAAAAAAAAAAATATCAAGTGTTCAAAGAATTCAAGATAAGCTTTTCCAAAACAGAAACTATGATATGGAACTGGAATGAGACTAGTGAGGGCACATGCTCTGAATCCATCAAAAATTCAGAATATGGAGTCAAACTCCATACACTCCAAAATATCTTAGTGTAGGGATCATTTATGACATTTAGTATAGGAAATAATGAAATTTAACAGATCTGACTTCCTCGTTTCCATCGGAGGGTGCCATTCTCTTCCCAGACTTGCAAGCCAAGAACTCTAGCGCCATCTCTCAGTCGCACCGGATCCTTGCACACCAAACCGTAATCCGAAAATTTCAATTGTGCGGTCTTGCGATGTGATGGCGTCTATAACGGATTTCATAATGATTGGCACCACATTTAGCCCAAATCCTAGCCGCGTAAGACAGAAGCGTTGGCCTTTGAAAATAACCATTTGAAATGGCCACAGCACTTCGTCGATGTGAATCTGAAGATATGCGTTCCGCAGATCCAGAAGCGACACATTGACTCCCTGCCGCCGACATGTTCTCAACTTATGTGCGCACACTTCTGCATCGGCAGTAAAAGCATTCACAAAGTTGTTCAATTCGCGGTAATCAAGTACCGGACGCACCTTCCGTTTCTGCTCCTGCATGACTGCCATCAAGGGAATCAGACCCTTTGGGGGTCCCAGTCTTTCCTGGGGGTACGGAATCAACCAGCTGTTCACAATCCTCTGTTGAAGCTCTTTCTCGTATTTTCCTCTGATGGTGTCGGGAACTTTGTACTCTGCGACCTTGTGAAGCTGAACTGGGTCTTTTTGGGCCCATTTCCACCTGGCGGTCCACACTCTCGTCGGAATTGAAAGAGACGTTGAAATCCGGTTCACTAATGCAAAGGGCTGCATACACCTTTCTTCCTTTACCCAGTTCCACATCCGGCTGGCGTGATTATCATGCCTCCTAACGCTCGGATCACATTGATCCCAAGCAGCAGGTCGTAACCGAGGGGCCTTTGACTTGCCACCAAAACGTCGACCTTGGCATGATTCTCTCCGTCTGTGAGGATTGATACAGTCCCGACACCACAACAGGCCCGGGACACACTGTCAATCGTCCGAATCTCGATTTGTTGACTGCTCCATGTCATGCATCTATCCGCATTAATGATCGACCGGGAACATCCAGTGTCGACGAGCACCGAACGTCGTTTACCCTCAACGCACACGTTGACAACAGGCAATGCCGCATTTAATGACCAAGAAGGGGCAAGGACTGTGACGGCACCTTGGACCCGGACTCGTTTCCCGAGCAATCCTGTGCTACATGGCCTAACTTGTTGCAGCTATAGCAGTGTAGTCGTGCTCGTTGGCTGCTCCCGCCTCCTATGTCACTTCAGCTCTGGCAGTTTCTAGAGATAATGGTTGGGTCCACCGCACTTGTAGCACTTTGGGCCCTCCCACGGTGTCTCAGGTGTTCTCACAGCTGCTGCGACCTGTTCCGTGTCGGACCCTGGCTAGCAATTCATCAATTTCCAGTGTATCCAATCTCGAAGATGCTCGCAGGAGCTGACTGGTGTCGTTGGGAAGTCCTGCCAGGAAAGTGCATCCCAGTATGCAGTCTGTTGATCCGCCAAAGTGCACCACCAGCCTTCGCAAATCAGCCAGGTAGACATCCACCGTTTTACCCGGCTCGAGCTGTCGTCCGACAAACCGTTTTCAAGCGATGAAGGGGTCTATTCCAAAGGACGTATATAGGGAACTCTTGATTTCTTCTAGGTCAGCATTGTCCCAGAGTTGTTGATATATGGCGTAGGCTCCCTTCATGAGTCTCAGTGGGATGACCAGTGAAGGTCCTTTTATTTTGGACACCCTGCAAACACATCCGGCCTTCTCAAACCATTCGACGACAGTCGGGCCCGTGGAGGAGCCGTCGAATTCTGGGATCTATTTTAGATCGAACTTGTCCATTGCCGAAATAGCTTTTGGTGGTAACAACGATTCAACTGATAATAGCAGATCAAAAAAAAAAAAAAAAAAAAAAAAACCAGGAGGAGGGTAACTGACAAAAATCAGTGTCACACGTCCAAAACGCCCACTGAAACAAAAACGCACCTACTTTATACAGATAAGGACTGACCACGATTTGCATGCGGATGATGAGACGAGACTTCACGTTAACTGTCAGAGACCACCTGGCATAAAACATGGGCGCCACCATTTTGGTACCTTTTACCGGTGAGCAAACTGGAGTTTGCACATCGCACAGATTTGCAGACATTTCTGAGGTAGGCCATTTTCACAATTTTCCCCACAGTTCTTAAATTACTGTCAGATCTAAGTTCTCATATGGATGCTGTTTCAGAAAGGTCTAAATTATCTATATACAAGTACTTCTACCAATCATTTGTTAAAAATGGTTGGGGTTAGAAGAAAGAATCCTCTAGCTCAAAGAAAACAGCCCTTTGTCAGACACCATAGACGGTCACTACAGATCACAAAGAGCTTTACCAAATAAATAGGTACACCATGTAATTAAAAAGATACTATTGATACAATCAAAAATATTAACTTTTACAATACTGGAAACAAAAAGTTTAGAAACTTCTATAGAAGAGTGATAACACTTAGTGGACTTGAGAAGTCCAATTTCCTGAGAAACACTAAGAAAAATAAATTTCAACTGGCAGTAAATGCTAACTAGTCAATGCTGAATGTTTCCTGTATGGACACAGCTAACTTCAGGAAGGCTGAGTATCAAATAAGTATGAAATAAAATTAAATTGTAAGTTGTAATGCAAATAAATGAAAATTGCAGGTACGAACATTTTTAGTTCTTAGCTTTTATGAAATTAAGAGAAAATAAAAGTCATAAATTTAATCAAAAACTACACAGTAAAAGAGAAGGGGAGATAACTTTCATTTGAAGGAAATATTAGGTAGGTAATCGAGATCATAGATTTTTAAAAATCTATCTTTTAGACTGGTTTGTTTCACCTCCAAAGAGCATTGGCTGTGGAATACGTTATTACTAGTTTCTAAATAAGATTTTATTCTGGATTCATGAAGAATAGTTATGCAAAGTAGAATGTTGTGTAGCCATTAAAAAAAAAAAAAAAAAAAAAAAAAAAAAAATTGGGATTAATTCCTTTTCCAAAAGTATTAAAGAAAAGAAAAAAAGATATCAGAGGTTGACAAGGCATTCGGCACTTTCTTACAAGAACTGAGCCAATTTTTAAGATGCGAAACTTAAAGTCTAAAAATTTTTAAATTTTAGAAAATACCTGACGATATCTAGTTAAATTTTAAAAACAGTTTCTGTAATAATTTCAGAGTAAAAAATATGATCAATCAAGAATTTTTATAAGGAGTTTACAATTAAAAGATTCATGGAAAACAAACGCAGACAATTCACAAGCAGGATACAGATTTTCAACGTGGTATAGTGAGGGATTATTTCACACTATGCTAAGCATTCAAGTAAAAAAAAAAAAAAAAAAAAAAAAAAAAAAAAGGAGATAACTTATTTGAAGTTTTTTTCTTCTGGAAATTCTACATTAACATATTCAAGCACGGTTTCCTTAACTTCGTATATAACTGGCAATTGACGCAAGTTACATACTGGCAGAAGTCAAAGCGATGTCTATAAAAAGGTCTGGCAGCCATGCAACTGGAGGCAGACATATATAGATTAAAAATATCGATTTTGAGTTAAATCTTAATGGAAATTGTACAAGGAAATTATATTATGAAATGAGCTAAGCCAGACAATTATTTTATTTGTTTATACGTTACGTGAAATACGAGGACATTTTATGAAATTTCGGACATTCAGACCGGTAAAAGATACTGTTTAAACAGAGCATTTACTTAAATATTTGTAAATATAAAAATAACGTACAATATGTTTATTAAAACAGAATTATACATTTTTATGAAAAAAAAAAAAAAAAAAAAAAAAATTTTTTAGTGCTTGTTCGAGTTGCCTTAATGAAAAACAATTTTTGAAAAGTATATTTCACAATCCCATGTTTTTTCTTGAAATGATTCATTTCAGAAACTAATAGATTTTCCATAGCAGCACTAAACATGAAACGCCTATTGATGTGTGGTATCCAAGAAAAGAAAAAAAAGTTCCCTATTCCTGCAAATAAAACATTAAATATTTTTCTGTAGGACAATCTTTTCTTGTAACATAGCCTGCTATATAAAAAATGTGACATTTTCAATAAAAATGTTAATCTTCTGAAATCCTAGTTTCAAAGTATGGTATATTTCATTCAGGAAATATCCATATTTTGATCAGTTATGACTATGAGCCTGGATCAAAGTTGTATTCTAACACCAACATTCAACTGGAGAAATAATCGTTTTATTTTTCAATAACATTTTCCAAATAGTCTGTCAAATTCAAACAAAGCAAAGTCCACTGCCTAAATATATACAAGTAAGCAATTATATATTTTCAATGGCTAAATTAGTGTCCCTTATGACTTTCCTTTGCTCTTATTTTTGCAGTTTCTCCAAAATTATAAATTAGTATCAAAATGTAAAAATCATAAAAATAAAATTGTCCCAGTGTTTTTTTTGATGAGAACATTAAAAAAAAAAAAAAAAAAAAAAAAAAAAAAGTTTTTAAAGAAACTACTTCACCATTTCGTGACAAGTGCAAAATATTAATATAAAAAAAGGAATTTCAACAGACGGGATCACCGATTTATGGCATGTAAAGGCCAAGTCTGTTGTAACATTTTCAAGATGGATTTGCCTTTCTAGAAATTGTATAAACTCATCTTGAACATTTCACACAGGTTTTATTTGTAGTTTTAGATTTTGGTTGATTAGATGATACACTTAATAGCAAAAGATCAAATACCGGTGGAGAATTTTTGTCATATTTTCCCCCCTCTAATAACGAGAAAACGGCAGCCTTTCACAAATAAGTGTTCAGTTTGTCAGTATTTTTTTTTTTTTTTTTTTTTTTTTTTAAGTGCGGTTTAACAGGCTGCCATTGTAACCAATGAACACAGTTTATATAATTTGATCTTTCCTAAAGATCAGGAAGAGCAAGTTAATGATTAAAGGCAACCATCATACTCGATCATTCTGATCTTAGGGAAGATCAAATTACATGAACCTTATTGTGTTTGTCATAGTTACTATGGCAGCTTGTCAAACAGTACTTTTGAGAGAGATTTTGGGACAATATTAAACTCATTTCATGATTCTAAAAACTGTAGGGACTTTATGATTCAAAAGTGAGAATTTAATTTAACTTTTGAAGGTTAAGTAGATGGATTTTACATTGTAAACGGGATCCATCTATTAACTTATTTGTAATCAGAAGTGTTTAATAGTAATAGAGAGAAAGAGTTCTGGTTGTAGTGACTATTGTACAATGTTGCCATCAGAAGTAGAGGTTTATTTGAAAGTGGTAAAATTTTTTGAATATTAACTTTGCAACATTTAAAGGACATTTTGCAGCAGGTTAAAAATATTCACTAGTTATAGAAAGGCTTCTGGTGATCTGAATCACCTAGATGGATCTAGTTTTGGTCAAGTCATCTTTCAATGAATTTGCTACTCAATGAGCTATAGAGCTCATAAGTTCTTTGTGCTTACTTCCAGTGGAAAGTGTTTTCTGATAAATCAAATGTAACTTCCTTTGGGTAAAACTTGCATAGAGTACTACTAATCCCAGGACTTGGAATTACTGTATAATAATGATTTCATTTGGCAGTGAAAAGCATCAGAATAATGCAAGTCCTCATATTTTACAAGTCAACCAACACCCACTTTATTTAGCAGACCTGTCCCTGTACAGATTAATTTTTCTGTGGACCAGGTCAAGAGTTGGCAATTTAACTTTGTGAACCTAAATTTATTTTTATAGTGGAATAAATTCAGTCTGGCCATCAGCAAGAGTTTTGATTCTAATCAAGGAAGAATTATTTTTGGCCACAAATAGCCTAACCCCACTGCTTAATCTGTATCAGGAGTGTGGTGGGGTGTTTTTGACAAATACAAGGGGAATGCCTTTAATATTTCTTAAATCCAAGATTTTAAGGATTCTAATATTTCATTTTAAGGACTTTAGCATTATAGCTTAACTTAGAAAGGCGCTTGTTAAGATTAGAAAATTGCCAATAAGTTTTAAGTTTACTGATGTAAATGTTCGACATGGAAAAAAAAAAAAAAAGATTTTTTTTAAAGAATTGTTCTTATCAAATAAGGATAAATTGATCACTTACCTTCAGAAGCCTCAGAATTGGTAATCCAAAGTACAGTAGTTTAATGGATACTAAATTGTGTTATTAAAACTGCGCTTATCTTTACAAACAATTCACACCAAAATGCGTAATTTTTTGTAAAATTAGGATAATTGACAAAAGAAAAAAAAAGAAAAAAAAAAAAAACACAAACAAACAAGCAGATAGAATTAAATAAGATTGAAGACCCCAACAAATGGAAAATTCAATCTTTCTACTTGTATAAAAAAAGAGAAAAATCCAGTGTAAGAGTTAGACATTTTATTTCGAAAAATGTTAACATCTACTAATTTTCACCTCTTCGCTAAACTTGCGACTTATCTTGTACATGATCTTAATGAGAGAGACGCCACTGCAAGTCACGTCATTGATGTATTTATTTTTTTTCTCATTACTGTCAGTCTCTTTCTTGGGCCCTAGTGTCCACAAGGATTAACAATTTATACACAAACTGCAAATCATACTTCCTTAAAGGTAACCACAAGTTAAAAGGCAAAAAGGATAAGGAATGCCATCATCAGACAAAAGAGACCCATAGCCTCAGACAGGGCAAAGCCCAAAATGGCATATGAAAACAGTTGTTGTTTTAAAGAAGGATTTCTGGCATAACCTATTACTAAGTTTCCAAACACACTTCCAATACCAGCACCTGCAAAGAGTCAAAAGAAATATTCACTCAATGCAAAATAGATAATGAAAGCAGCAATTCATTTAGTACAGTTGTAAGACTTAGTCAGGAGGTAGTATAAATACCTCTTAAATAAAAATGAATTTAGAGAAAAATTACTCACCAGAACCAGCAGCTCCAACTGTAGCTGCACCAGCACCAATATATTTTGCTGCCTGATCAATATCATTTTGCACAGAGCTAGTCTGGAAGAGTCTGACCTGAAATAAAAATTTCAAATTTTAAAAAGATGCAAAGGTCACTTTAGCATTAAACAAGATAACTGTATTCTCAATAATTAAATTCATACCTGGCTTTGGAAGAGAGAAAGCATGTTTTGTGGTTGTGAAAGAGAAGAGAAACCAGAACAGCTAGCCAGGGGGACAAGACATTGTTGGTGTGAATTCTGAAATGGAAAGAAAAAAAATCTTTAAATATTGTTGGAAAACTATGAGGGTACAGCGGTATAAGAAGTTTTGGTTACAGTTGCTGCAGGTATTACAGCCCTCTAGTGTGTGTGTGTGTGTGTGTGTATATAAATTTAGGGTTCATCTATGAGGAAAAATCTGCAGGTTGATGACCTTGAGCAAGTAGTGGAAAACAAAATGCTACACATAACATATACTCACCTCTTGATATTGGCTCACGGTACTGCCCAGGGGTCTCATAATTGACCTGCTAGAGCCAACCTAGAAGAGAAAGAGGAAAAGTAACAGACAGGAAGACATATTGACTAGAAAACCTACTGTTACCATTGGCTTAACAGTAACACCTTAAGCAATCGAAGTAAGTTCTGTTTATAAAATAATCAAAAGGCAAGCAAAAAAAATAAAAGAAAATGAAATTTTTACAAAATTACTGGGATTTAAGTTTACAATTGTTTTTATAGATTATCTAAAAATGTTATTTGAAGGTGTTAAGTGTTCAAGGTCCTTCAAGGTTTATATATGGAGTTGTAAAGGTGAAAACAAAGATTATGATTGACAAAAAGAGTCCTATTAGAAGTCACGTCTGATAACAAAATCATGACCTCTGTGTTAAGTTGTTAACAGATCTTTTACTCAGTTAAACATTCAATCTATTCTATTTTCTTAAGCTACTAGGTAATAGACACAAATACTGTCATGCAGCAGTTTACATCCAAACTATGTAGGCATTTTTGGTTTACCAAAAACATCAATAACGTTGGTAAATTAAGTGTAGAAAGCATACGCCTTTTTTTCCCCAGTCTTAAAAACGAAAAAATTGGACTAACACTGCGACCTTATTTGACCTTCATAACCGATTCATTTTTCAAGTCTTATGAAGATACAAAAATTTAGATTGGAATATTAAGTCTTTACTGTTAGATCTAGAAATACAAAGTGATTTTTCTAGTATAGCCATGCAATAACTCGTAAGACAAATCGAGGCGCCAAATACTTGTAGAAAAGCAAAGTTTAAGACAAAGAGGTTTTTAAATAAATTTAATGATTTTCAAAATATCGGTTGAGCGGCCACCTGATTAAAAAAAAAAAAAAGATGGAATACTGAGGGTGAATTACTGGGTATACATGGATGGAATTATGCGAAGACTTGAGACACTAATGAAGGAGGAAGTTGGTTTTGGGAGGAAAAAAAAAATGAATAGCAATGCGCCGGTAGCGAACGTTGACTGTCGTTAAGATAGTGATTAGTGAGAAAGTAGCTGCTGCTACAACTACTGGTATCATCAATAAAGCAAAAGTTAATATCTAACAAGCCACATTTTCTAAACGCGGTATTGTTAAAAGAGTTTAATTAAGAGTAAGACTAAATTAATTTCCGAAGCAAAAATGAAACATTCAAAAAGTAAAGTGCGCCCTTGAGATTTTAAGAGATAACTAATAAATTGTACGTGTCTACAGTTGTTTGACCTTGAGGTCTAAAGAAGTACTAGAAAAATTCTTAAAGGAAATGAAAAGGAACTACTAAAGAAAATTAAAATATATATGTATACGAACCATACGTGCTGCAGAAGGGATAAATCTGGTGCAAGCGTACATTTTAGTTGATCTGTGTGTTCTTCACCCAAGGTATACCTGTCCGAAAGAAAAAAACCGGCCGAAGGTTAGTTGGATAAAAAAAGAAGTGGCAAAAATTGTCACAATTATTCAAAATTAACGGCAAATACTGATACCAATCATAGGTGAAATCGAATAACGCCTGTAAAATTCGAAGTGAAGACAGGATGATAAAAATTACCGGTATATAGGCTGGATTTGAAAGGCTACAGAAAGCCAAAGTTACAACACCTTCTTACGATCAAGCCAAGAGACCCAATAGCGCATGCGCATTGGAAACCAAATACATTACCGTTTTTTCACGAAAATGAATAATTGTTTTAAAATACTTTTTGCAACTATTTAAGAAATATGAATTATATTAAAATTGTATTATATTTTTTATATTCTATTATGTAAATATATAAAGTTTAATTGACTTACGGAAATGCCCGAATCAGGTCCGTGACCACATGCGTAGCGGCCTGTCTGCATATGGCTACCTTGGCACAGTAGAAATTAGCAAATGGCGGTGTTTCTTATTAATAATTGTCAATTTCAAGGATGTGGATTGCGATTTACAACTTTAACAGAACTTATCCAGCACATAGAGGATACTCACTTAGGTACGTTTTTAATCAGTGTTGTTTTCATTGATAAGTTGAATATTTGTTTGCTTCAATGTTTTACTGTGTATAAAATCCGTGTCGACTGACAGCGACCACGTTTGTTTACATTTTCCCCCTATTTTGCAAAGACCAAGCATGCTTGCATTCTTCATAATGTTTGCACTTTTGCCAGTACTGAAAGAACCATTTAATGTGTGCATCTCCTGATCGGAATTAGTGTTGTAAATGCCACCTATTCACTTTATTTATTTTTTTGACATTCAGTGTGTGTTTGTCCCTAGTTAGGAGCCGGCATCATCCACCACCGGTCTATCATAATGTCGATCTGTCTCGCGTTCAGTCTCTTCCTGGCCCTTCTAAATCATGCCCCCATCACTCTTTGGTCTTGTTTGTTATTTAGCTTTTTTTTTTTAATGCCCCTCCTCACTTTTTTATTTATTTATTTATTTTTGTTACATTTGGACCATACCAGAGGGCCGATGATAATAGCTTGCTCCTCAAGAAGAATCCTCGCCACCATTGGGTCGGGCTTAGTTTCGTCCTATTATTGTCATTAAAGTCCTGAACAGAATAGTTTAACTTTTCTCCAACTGATTAGTTTTAATTTCAACCCCAACTACACGCATATTTTCGGATGATTTATAATCTAAATGTATTTTATTTTCAAGCAATCTCTCTCGTTGTTGAAATGAGAAAGAACTGCTCCAGCTGTTCTTGTTGCTCTCTATTCTGTTAGCTTCTTTGCTTCACTTGAAGTGACAATCTGATTGACGATGTCCAACTTATTTTGAACCCTTTTTTACAAAGAATATTGATTCTTGCCTTTGCATTTAATTTAGGAGTTCCAATTTTTTATTACTTGTTTTTCCTCGGTCCATGATGATGACGACTGTTTATCCCCATCCCATGTTCGTGTAGAGCAAATATTTGGCACTAGCAATAAGCCGGTGAATAGAGTAGACTCTCTACCTCCATAAGTGCAATGCGTGTCGAAGGACAGGGAGACACGGTCCCCGATTTTGTGACCGTAGCACAGCCCATAGGGTAAAAACTAAAAACTTAAAAAGGATCATTTTTCATCACAGAATATTTTTTATAAAGGTGCAAAGTTTGTGAAAGTTATTTTGTTTTTTTTATTTATTTAGAGTGGTTGCTCTAGTAAAGTTTTTTGATTGTTTAGACAGCAATCATTTCTTTTATTGATAAGAACTTCGACCTATTTTAGTTCTATTTTCTTAAAGGTGGAACGATCATGCTGGCATAAAAAGGTGATATTACAAACGGAACGTAAATGACAAGGGAGTTCGTGAACTGTATTGATCGTCTAGCTTGTTTCTGGATTTGGTTGGGCGGTCTTAGCTGGACATTCCGAGGAACCATTAATCTTCCTGGTTTTATTTAGTCATTTAACTGAATAAAGAGTAGTGTTTTACTTTCGATAGCTAGTTTTATTCGATTTAGGCCATGTACACATTAGTTTATCTTATTTGAACCGTAAGAAGAATTGAAGCAAATCAGGGGCTGTTTATTTATCTATTTGTGTGTGTGTGTGTGTGTTTTCTTCAACGTTTATCCTGTTACTGACACTGGAGGAAAAATGCTTACGTTTTGCTTGAAAACAATTTTTTACTTCAGTTTGAAGTAAGTGTTAGTGTTTAATAATGAATGAATATTGAATACTGTGAGTGTGGTGTGATAGCATTCGCGTTTCTCTTTAGTGAATTATGGATTATCGTTTAAAAGATGTCATTTGAAAACCGCAACATTTTGTTTTCATTTTTAAAAATACATAACTTAAAAATTTACGTCGAGTGTACATGTGATGTACTCGCAAAATAATTTCAGTTGTTTCTAGATTAATATTTATTTCTGCTAAGTTTGTATCATTTTAACTTTATTTTATTTTGTTGCTGTTGGTAGATAAGATTCTTCAAAATTAAGGATGGAGTGTAAAATGTTCCTGTATGCATGCAAGAAACATCATCAGCAACAACACTTTCGACTCTACATGTCACGTGTCCCGTTGTTGTTCTCAGAGATTCGACCATTTTCCTGCTCGATTGCTCGACATTGAGTAAAAAGCTTATTTAAATTTAACGTTATTGTCGTGTACATTACTTACTTCTTATTCTGACATCAGAAAAAAAATAATACACAGTAACAAATTCAGTTGTTGTTTGTTGTGCATCACCTGACATTGACAGTTTCTACATTTTTGGAAGGGATTGTTTATTGATGAAATGAAAGTTTCGACTTTTTTATATACGGATGTATTTAATGAAACTTTTCAATATCTGCATAGTTTTCTTTGAATTTTTGTCTAATTCTTTTGTATTGAAATTTATAGTGTTAAACGCAGTATTTGTCATTTACTGCCTCTGCTCTGGTTTAATGGTCTGGTTTTGATTATGTTCTGCCTGAATTGGAATCCAAAAAATCAACAACGATTCTTAAAGTTTAAAAATTGAAATCCGACTGTAAAAATGTCGATGAATGTGGTAATGGTCTATTTTATTTTTTATTTATTTTTTTTATTTTATTTTTTTTGCGAGAAAAACAAATTTCTCGCCCACATTTGAACATCCTAAAATTTAAATTAAATTTAATTCTAACTTTTATTTTTAGTGTTTGTTTATCACACATTCTTCGGCTTGCAAATTATGTTTTACTTTGGTTGGAGTAATTTTGAGTATAGCGTATTTTTATAAGTCCACGTAACAGTAATCATAGCTAACATTAAAAAAAGTTAATTTAAATGTAATCTAGAGATGAATTTCTTTTTTGGTTTGAGTTTAATTTAGTTGTACCACCAAATAAACGTAGTAAATAATTAATGATCTGTCCTTACGAAAAGTAACTTATTGGGACAGCTGGGTCGCTTGTCTCATGAAAGTTCCTGGGAAGACTTTGAACATCATGCGAGTAAAATTGTTTAATAATGTTCACTGTCCGTGTTCAGCATTGGCATTTTTGTTTAAATATGAATTGAGATTTACACAGTATGTATTGTAGAATTTTCAAATAATGTGAAAATTTATTTGGACCATGCTTAAGTGGTTGAATCTTTTTATATTGAAGAAAGTAAACATGCTAAAAAATAACTACATGAAATATTTTGAATGTGATTCAAGTGTAAATAAACCGTTTATGATAATCCAGATTTTTTAATGGAAAGATTGTTTTTTGTTTGTAATTAGTATTTATTTATTTAATTAATAAGTATCCTGATTATAATGTACATTACAATAAGTGAAATAGTAGTAGTAATGACACTATTTTAAAAAGAATTTGGCTTTTTGTGATTCCTATAAGAATAAAATTATTATACAGCCCGATACGTTACCTAATTTTATTTCAGTGAAGATAAGAATAATGAAATTCAGTTTTAAGAACATTTAACCAAATAAAAAACGAATGTTCTGATAAACGTAATTCTATAACAAAAACATTAAAAATGTTCTAACTTTTTAAAGTTTAGTTGCTGTAGCAGTAATCTCTCAATCTTTGTAGCTCTTAAAATGTTGTCTTTTTGTTATCCCTCTTAAACCTCGCGCTGCCACCCATTGTTTTCCTCTGTCCCTTTTGCCTTCAAAGCTGTCCTGCGAGAATCAAATTTTTCAAGCCCTCTTTGCTCATTGTGTCCTTTTTATTTCCATTTTCTCTAAAACTTTGTCATTGCTCATATCTTTAGTCCATTTCTTTGAATTTATGCTACAATCAAGTTTTCTTTGCTTCCTACAGAAACTGATGTAAAAACTCTCGAAAAACAAGAAATGCATCCTCCAGCATCAGTGCCTCTAAGCCAGATTTTGAGGTAAGTTTAATTTTCTCTTGCAGCATCATTTTACATGTTAGGATAATAACTAAAATATAAATTACTTGTGAGATGAACAAATTAATCTTCTAAAGAAATTTAATGGCAGAAAAGAAATCCCTTAAGAGTACAGTTGATACTTTCAAACTTTTTACCATCTCTAAATAAAATAAATTTACATGGAATTATTTGCATGTTTTAAGAATTCTTTTGAAGATGGTTATAGTGGATGTGAAAACTTTCAATGCAAACTGTAACAATAACCCGATGACCAAAGAAACCTGCAAGTCAATTTTCTCTTAATAAAATATACCTTTTGCTTAACTAATTTTGGTCACATGCTTTCTGTTGATTACTGCCTACAATTTGAGCAATACTTGTTCAAATCAGGAGAAGTTCTCTATAAGGTTATAGTAGAGGACTCCTACCATCTACAGCATCACCTTTTAACACAAACCAGCATTTGACATAGTGGTGGTTCTTGCTTGCCCTCATGATCTTTTGCATTCCCGTTGTAAATTTATTATTGTTCATTTCAATTTGTTTTAAAAATGAAACCTTTTGTCACATTTTAAGTATTGAATCACACATTGAAATCTTGTCTCGCTAGTGTTTTTTTTATTAAATCGTGGAAGTCACAAATCAAAGTTGTCTACATAATCAGATTGGTGTTTGTTGTTGTTTTTTTTTTGTTTTTTTTTCTATGCCTAATTTGAATATTTTGAATATGCTGCTTATTTCATTGCATTGATTATTCTCAAGTAATGTTTTGATGTGTTCACTATCAATTCAGCTGGTCTACTCATCCACAGCGCATCAGTGAGAAATCCCCAGCATAAAAGTTCACAAACTATTCACTTTTGAAACATCCAACCATTCAATTTTTCCATGCACAAAAATTTTTTCTTTAGTCATGTTTTCACTTTTAAAATAAAAAAAAAAAAAAAATATATAAAAAATGTTATTCTGATTCCATCTTATATATATATATATATATATGTATATTAAATACATGCGGAAATAACAGCTGTCACAGAGCCCAATCAAGAGATTTTTTAGGATTTAGTTTTGAAATATAGGATGACTTTTTAGGTAAGCCAATATTTATTGTGGATCTAATAATCTATTGTTTATCTTTTCAGGATATCAGCAGATGCTGCTAAAAGAGCACAAGCAGAGCTCATCCGGAAACGTGCTCGAGCACAATCACCTGCATCATCTCCTGCTAGCAACACTGGTTTGTAGATTATGCTGAATTTCTGTGTTTGTATGAGCCTATTTGTATGTAAGTGTTTAGTGTCATTTAAACAATGTAGTAAGAGATAAAATGAATGCTGTTAATATTACTGAATTTTATGACTCATTAGCTATTAATGTTTTGATGGTCAGTTATTTTTCAGATGTGTGGAAATCTACAAATATATTGGTATTTTATAGTGAAGGGTGCATATATACTCCAAAAATACTCTTCCCTTTATCATTTATTGAAACTAAAAATGTTTCATGGTTTGTATGATGAATGAATTGTTAAATCTTTTAAAGTATTTTTCTACCACTGCAAAGAGTAGTTTTAGTTAAGATGTTATATGATCTAACAGAGGATGAAATGGATAACGACAACAAGACAAGGTTTACTTAACTTTTATATAAGACTGAAAACAGCAGAATAAAGGAAAGATTTTCACCATTGAATAACTAATATTTACTGTTGTCAAAAGTCTCCATAATTGAAGACTATTTCACTCTGTTTGCTTTTCAGAATGGGCAGTAAATGTCTGCCATTCAACAGTCAAAATCCTTTCTTAATTCTTTTTCTTTCCTTTATCATTTTACCCCATGCATAGCAATAAAGCCACTAAGGCACAAGGGGTAACTGAAAGTGAAAGAATCTGAGAAAAATAACATTAAAGACAGGACAATAAAAGCGCAGAAATTAAGCAAATGGAAGATGACTGATATTGGATTTAAATTTTCGAAGATCAAATTGACTGGAAAGTAAGAAGTTGGAAGAGTTCCACTAGTGAGAAGTGTGAGAGAAGAAACTGTTACATCTAGCCATTTCAACTGTAAAATAATTATACATAGCTGCTAATTTAGTACTGCTTTTAAATTCATAAAGTTGAGGTACCAAAGAGAAAAGCTCCTTGAAACAATTACCATGAAAAAGGGACAGAGAAGCCATGTTACAACAGTGGGGAAGTGACTAAAAGCTGAGATGCCAGATCAGGACAAATAACATTGCAGATTCTTATTTGGATTTTATCAAGAATCTCTAAATACATAGCAGAAGCACCAGACTAAATGTGGCAGCAATATTTAATGCATGTACGAGTAGTAGACTTATAGAGGTGTAAGAGATTCTGATGAGAAAAATTGTCTAACACTACAGTGAACCAACTTTCTTAACAATACATTAGCCTAAGAAGGTGCAATGGGTTACTGTCCCGGATGTTAGCATCAGTCATGCTGATGAAAGTCAAAAAGATTCTCTAAAGTTTTTTTTTTTTTTTTTTTTTTTTGTTTGGAGGCGTTGAAATTTAAAAAAAAACAAAACATTTCTTATTCCAGTTAACAGATTGAAGGTCATTTTTGAGATTAGCTGCCAATTTGACCTTATCAAATCTATCAGACTTACCATTAAGACAGAAACTCTTTAACTTGTGAAGACCAGCATGCCAAACTCTGTCAAATGCCTTTGAGATATCTAAAGAAACAGCTTTTCTCATTTAAAGTTTCATAGACTCTTTGAGTAATAACACTTAACACATCAACAGTTGACCTAGGGAAGTGAAAGCCATATTGCTTGTCTGAAAGAACTTGTGAGGTGAGATACTTAAACAATTCAGTTGATTAGAGTTTCTAGGGTTTTGCCAAAAAGGTAAAAGACTAATAGATTGAATGAAAGATCAGATGGTTCACCTGAGTTCTTAAAAACAGGAACTACAGAAGATTGTTTTCAACAAGCAGGAAAGAAAAAAGTGGCAAGGCATTTACTGTAGTGTTTAGAGAGAACAGGATCCAGTTCAGGACACAATTCTTTAAGATTATTGCAGGCATACCATCAGATTCACATGCTTTGTAGGAATCCAGTTTAGAGACTATTAACAGAAACTATACTTATATGCATATCATACAGTAGTGTAACAAAAAAAAAAAAACATTAAACTTATTGTAGCAATCAATGCCTGCAATCAGTTTCTTCTCTCTCGTCCGCAACACTTGTAGCCAGTTCAACACAGCAGTCAACTGTCTTTTTTTTCCTCACTTCCTTGTCACCTTGTTCTTCCCATTTTTATCTATCATTGACAGCCAAAATTTGCATTTGCGTAAAGATAATCTCGAGAGAGTATCTTACTCTGAGATCTATTTTAAATATGTGACTTGCAAAGTCGCCATTTCTTTCTCTGTTGGACAGTTTACTTGCTAGGCACATTTAAATCTTTGCTTGTGCTGGAGGTAAGTTATTTTATTCTAGTGTTGCAAAAAAATACATGCAACCCTGGGTCTCTTTGCACTCTGTGGTAGTTCACTACATAAACTTCACCCCTGATTTCATGATCACAGTAAATGCAACCAAAGGGAGGCCTCTTCTGCCAGGTACTCCTCTGAGGTGGAGCAACATAAGTTTTGTCTTCAGATGAATCACCACTGGATGAGCCATTGGGTTCTTCTGCACCAGACTCTGCACTGCTGGTATCAGGAGAATCGCCTGGTGAAGTTGACTAACAGCTCACTTTCTGTTGAATCACCTTCATGTTCAGATAGGTAATATGTCTCCTGAAAGGGACACAAGTTCTTCACATGCTTGGGAATTCTGTCAACCTGTACTGAGTGTGAACTGTTTACTTTGGTTATGCAGCCTGTCTTAAACTTGGTTGTACACATCCCTTGCAGAGTCTTAACCCAGACAATGTCTTCATCTCATATGCTTCTCGAGTATTTCATGGTTCAGGCAGAGTCGTCACATTGATGCCCCATATGTGGACGTGATACTCGTGTAATCCATCTGCCTGCACTTTAGACTGTGAGAAGTTGTCCTTAGGGGTGACATTATGCCAGTACACTGCCTATGTAGTTTGGAGCACTGCTTTTTTTAGCGGCAATGGTTTTAATGCTACTGTGACTCTTTTCAGCTATACCATTCCCAGTAGGTGCATTAGAATCGAAGCTGCATGAGGAATTTTCTGATTTACCCACATGTTTAAGCCGTGTCATTGTCAGTTAAGATTTCAGTCAGTGGACCCTGCTCAAAAAAAAAAAATTGATGTTAATTGGTTAATGACACTGGTGGACTCTTGTCAATGAAGTGGTTGCCACATTGCTAATCAAGATGGACCACAATCAATAAGGGTTAAGAAGTGTTCACTGCCATAGTGAGTGATAACCTGCTCCAATTGTTTTTCACTCCCAGCTTTCCTTTCGACTGTTGTTGATCAATAGATTTGGCAAAATGCAGCGTCCTCTTCATACCCAGGTGCACACTTTGTTGGTAGATTTTGACTACTTTCTTATAATGGCTCACCCTAGTTGTACATGTTCGGCTCCTTTATTGTGCTGCTCCAACCACCTCTGGGACACTATGGTGAGATGGTCTGCCCGATTTAGCACTGATTTGACCAGCTTCATATCTATTGTCAATGCATACTTGTCAATCAGTGAGTGAAGTGTTTCCAGCCACTGTCTTAACACATCACTGGCTGTCCTCATTCTTACACGTGCCTTCCCAAGTCGGAGTCTGATATCCAGCAATGAACGCACACAGTCAGTGACTAGGTGCAAGACCATCATCTGCCATTGCAGGGCCAGATTGATGCCTTTTATCATTGCATTGAGTTCTGCTAAATTGATGTGCTTAGCATCTCCTGCCAGACGCAACTAACTAGCATCCTCAACAATGTCTCTATTCACTTCCAATGCCACTTCTGTGGCCAATCAACTGTTGTCCACCCATACCTTCATTTCATGACCACTCACACACCAGTTCCCACCAACAGCATCCATTTCTTGTAACCTGTTTACCATCTCAGCTAACATGCAGTGGATGAAGGCATTTTCAATTATGTCGTCGCATCCCTTGGACACTGCACTTACTTGTCTCTTGATATAGGTGGTTGCTATTCTTAACCAGCCATACATGGAAAAGTGTCCCACAAGTCATCCACACACAGAAAACACACTTCAGCAAGTAATGACTTCTGGAAGGTTCAGAACTTTACTTCCTTGCTTCAATTGGAGAGTACTATTCTCCCCCCCCCAGACATACAGGCCCAATACTCTGGTCTCCTCTTTCAGTCTCTCTGGGTCTTTGCATGTAAGTCCATAATTGGATAGATGGTTCCTCGTCTGTGCAGTAGAAATCAAAGCCACCATTTCTTTATCTGTTGGACAGTTTCCACTGTGAGGCATGTTCAAATTTTTGCTTGTGCTGGAGGTAAGTTATTTTATTTTTGATTTTATTCTAGTATTGCAAAAAATACATACAACACATGGCCTCTTTGCATCTGCAGTAGTTCACTACAAGTAGGAACACTGTTCTAAGTGGAAACTCTGGCAAACTCCAGTCAAGTCAACAATAGAATTGGAAGAGAATTTAGAAGCAAAGCATTCTGATTTATCAACAAAAGATAACCCCTCATATTAAGTGAAGAGTGGAGGGATAGAAGACTTGTTCTTATCTATTATTCTCAAAATGTGTGTGTGTGATCAGATGTTGTTGTTGTTGATGCATTTTCAGTTTTTATCTGATTTCAATTAATTTTTTTAATTTGATAGATAATTCTTCAGTGCCAGTTTTGAGTCCAAATTGTTGGTGACAGTGGCTCTCCACTACTTCCTGTCCATTATAACTCTCAGCAACCTTTTACTATTTACTATCTGTTCTTGGATATATATCTTTCATAAAAACTTTAATAAAAATAGTTTAAATTATTACAATAATATTATTTATTATTATACGGTTCCCTTTCAGGGCTACCCCCCCCCCCCATTCAAATTGTTACCCAACCATTTGGGGATATGCCTCAGATGCACCAAAATGTTGTTACTAATATTGATTTTTTTTGGGCGGGCTGACTCTAAACTTAAACTGCTCCAAATGAACAGCAAAAATTCCCAGTAATGAAAGACACGGTCAAAGACAAATTATACTGCTAATTGAACAACTATTACAAAACTCTCAGTAGTCATGAGAAACAAACTCGTTCTGTCAGTGAACAAGGACTTAGTTTCATTGAAAGC